CACTGAGGACCTATCCACATCATCATTTACCCAGAATGCTTTGTGTGTAAATAAAATGGCTCCGTCCGTGTTTAAATATATTTTGAAAAATTATAAAAACTAAACAGCCTACAGTATTTTTAGTCTTTATTTTACAGTTAAATATATATGTTTATCAAATAAAGTCTAATGTTACAACTAATCAGGGATCCCTTTAATAAAGTTAAATCAAACTGATCTATCAGAACATCTGAACTCCACACAACTTTTCTAACCACATCCAAATGTCCACAGTGAAGTCCAGGAAGTCGTCAACACAAAGACCGACTCTTTGGCGGCTCTCGAGGCCACCCCATCCTCCTCGTCCGCCCCAGCTGCTACCCCCTCTTCAGAGCCAGCCACCGAAGCACCCTCCAGTCCCAAGGTGGGGATGGTTGAGGTGGATGGGGCCAGCCAGATGTCTGGCTCGGGGTGCACCAGCCAGGCTTCAGTGGATGACGASGACGATGTGCCAATCACAGATATTTACTTGGTAAGTAAAATCTTGTTGGTACAATTTACAAACACATACCTCAGTTGCTTTTATTTTCTGTTCTTAGTTTAATATTTTTCCCCTCCACATAATACTGTCAGGGTCAGTGTGTGTTGTTATTAATTGAGCTAAGTGGTACTTTGCAACAGATGTGTTAATACCAGGACTGGAAGGTCAGACTGGTATGGGAACATGATTGTCTGCAGTTCTTATTTATTGTGTGATGTGTTTCACTAAAAACACTGTTTTGAAATCTTGCTTATTAACTTGCTAAGGGATAGGTGGGGCGGTCTGCTGTGTTATGGGGGGCAGGCCTCAGTTTGTTTCTGTTCTTACATATTTAAACTCCAAACTAACAAATGAAGGTAAAAGTTAAAAAGACTCAGTCAAACATGAATAAAAATACACACTGAAAAAAACACACCCTCTGATGGGCCTTCTCACAAAGTGAGTTCACTCATCAAAAGTCAGTTTATCATCCAGAACAGTTCCCAGATAGTCATATTGGTGCACCACCTCAACAGCTTCACCATTATTAACCACAGGAGCGGCAACCGTAGAGTCTTTTCTAAAATCATTGACCACCTCCATTATATTTGAAACATTTAACTTTAAAAAGGAAGACTCACTCTGTTCAGTGAAGGCCCTGACCTCTGACCCATGGTCAGGGTCATCACTGCTGAGAAGAGACAGGACGACAGTATCAGAATTTTGTATTTGTTATTTCATTATTGTTGTTTTATTTCTTTTTTTTATGCTCTTAGTTTGAATTTGAGCTGGTGAAGATGATACATGCTAAACACATGGTGCCTGATACAACTAGCAGTGATTGTAAGAGGGGATAGTTTTTATTCAATTCGGGATTAATTGCATAAAAATAGAAGTTTTACACTTGTGAATTTTTTTGTTGACTTAAAGAAGATAATCTGTGCTCTAACAGTTTCTAAAGTTAGCAAAAAAAAAAGCTAATCCACTAAATGAGAAGCTAGTTCTGCTATTAGCGGTTTAGCAGAACTGGGCCCACCACTAAAACAGGTACAATTTAGATTTTTGATTTTTTTATTTATTCATTTAATTAAAAAAAAACATTTAATCAAAAAACAAAACAATTTGAGAATAAAATGGATGAAATTGGAATTTGTAAGATTGAAAAAATGAAATTACTGAGGCAGGTGTGTTGTCACGTTGCAGGTTTCTGACATGAAACTGTCATCATACTGTCCACTCTTTCTCCACCTTCACCCATTTAACCCTAGCTTAAAGAACCATTTCTTTTTTGCCTTTCCTTTGCTCTGATGCATTTCTCAGTYGTTCTCTGCCTTGTTGTCGTACCAAGTCACAAAGAAGTGGTGTGATGGYGACAGTGTGCAGAAGCTGGATAAAAAGATAGTTACTGCCAAGCTTGTGAATCCATCTGTCATCACTGAGTCACCCTGTAGAGTCCTGCAGAGACTTCACTTAGTCAGAACTGTCATCCATTTTCCCCTCAGCATGCGTCTTTTTTCCATTGTGTTATTTTACTTTTGTCACCACCTCTCTTCATCCTCCCTCTGTTTGTCTGCGTGCCTCATCTCTGTAACACCGTCAGTTTTTAAATGGGAAGACCTGGGTGGTCTAAGAACAGGTCCTGTCAGCCAGTAAGTGAGCAGAGAGTGAGATGGCAGTAACATCAGAGGYGTTGGGCTAGATTTCTGTTTGTTTTGCAAAACATGAATGCAGTGATGAGAGGAAAGACCTTTTTTTTTTTGGAGTGTGTGGAAGTATGGGGTGCCAAGTGTAAAATAAAATGTAAAAAAAAGTCACTAACACATTTTTATTATTTAGCTCACTTTGAGTGTAAGATCCCACTTTAAAAACTCCACTAACATTTTATTGTTATCACTGTTCTTACATTTTACTAATTTTATAAAATATTAAATTTAAATTTTAAATGATATATTCAATCCTAAATGTAAAGGTTAAATCTTAAATGTTGTAGCTAAATGTTGCAGTTTACATTTAAGTATTTTGGAATGGAATGCAGCCTTTGCTGCTTGTGCTGGGCTCTTGTTGTGACATCATCATTCTGAGACAAATTCAGCCATTAACCCTGCTAACCGTAGATAAACACTGTGTCCAAAACGACAGGCCGGGTCCTCCGGAGGACCCAGACTACCCTGTCGAGGTGGGCCGGGTCCTTGGTAGACCGGGAAGACCAGAAAAAAAGAGGCTGTGAATTTGGACGGTCTAGCCTCCCCTCC